CACTTTATTTCCCACTGGGGATATTGGGGGGAGTGGGGGGGTGGGCCACAGGGTTCTGTAAACCTGCAATAAAAGTAGGAGGGAAAAGTGCAAAAACCAAAATAGAATGATAGAAGTGCATATAATGGGTTCTTTAGAATCACAAAGGGAGAATTGATGGATTTCAGTTAGATCCATCTTCTTAGAAAGACTGTATTTATCAGCACTTCATAACTGACAAATTTTTTCTCTTACTGTCAGATGACTTTTTTTTACCCCAACACTCTTATATGATAGCTAGTCTGGAATACTTTTTCTTAGAGTAGGAAAATGTCACATCAACTAACAAAGCAGGGCTAGTAAGAGGCAGACAAGCCTATCAACTACCTTCTGACTTTTCAGTAGGCTTTTTTTTCTCAATAGCTCAATGAGGCTTAGATTCAAGTGCATACCTGAAAGTAAGCTGGCCAAGGAAAGAGGAAAAGTAAATCCCAGCGGAGGGAGTGAAGGTGAGCAGGCTGAAGTCCTTAGAATAATGGAGAGCAGAGGTAGTTGACGACAGCTGTTCTTTCCTCAAAATATTCAGACCTCTTGATTTGCTAGACTGAAACTCTAGAGTTTCGTGTTGTAGCTTCTATTATTTAAAGTGGTTTGAAAACAGATTCAGTTTTGGGCCGGCCCGTGGCTCACTCGGGAGAGTGCGGTGCTGATAACACCAAGGCCGCGGGTTCGGATCCCATATAGGGATGGCCGGTTGGCTCACTGGGTGAGCGTGGTGCTGACAACACCAAGTCAAGGGTTAAGATCCCCTTACCGGTCATCTTTAAAAAAAAAAAAAAAACAGATTCAGTTTTGCTTAAGATAAAGCTAGAGTCTCATTCGAATAAAGAGCTTCCTGTTATAGAAAATAGTGGTCATTTTAATGAACAAGACAAATTCTCTTCAATACTTACAGCATACAGAGTCCTTGATTTATAAGAATTTTATCAAAATAACTGATTCTAAGAGTATGTATAAGAAATCAGTGTGGTTCTGGCTCGACCCAGAGCAACCATCCTTCCTAAGAGTATGTATAAACAATATTTTTATACAGGCAAGAGACTTTGCAAGTGAAAAATACTCTGAACACATTTAGGAAAATGGAAGAGGTGTAAGCATTCCTTTATATTTAGCAATCCCATTTGTTTTTTCAAAATACTTGAACAAAGAGATATTTGTACACTCATGTTCATAGTAGCATTGGTCACAATAGCCAAAGGGTGGAGGCAAACAAAGTGTCCATCAGCAGAAGAATGGATAAACAAAATGTAGAATGTACATACAGCGGAATATTATTCAATCTTTAAAAAGGAAGGAAATTTTGACACATGCTACAATATGGATGAACCTTGAAGACATTTTGCCAAATGAAATAGGTTGGTCACAAAAGGACAAAAATTGTATGATTCCACTTATATGAGGTTCCTAGGATAGCCAAGTTTATAGAGACAGAAAGTAGACTGGTGGTTGCCAGGGGCTGGAAGGAGGAGGTAACGAGAGTCAGATTTTAATGGGTACAGAGTTTCAGTTGGGGAACATGAAAAAGTCCTGGGGGTAGATTGAAGTGATGGTTGTGCAACAGAATGAATGTACTTAATACCGCAGAACTATACATTTAAAAATGGTTAAAATGGTAAATTTTTGTTTTGCCAATAAAAGAAAAAAGCGTTTGAATAGGATGAAGTCACCCACAAAAATTACAAACTGTAGGTTGACATTTGTCATATTAAAGGAATGATCTGTAGATATAGAACTTTACTTACCTGAATCCTCTCTCAGAATGATGTGCACATAGTAGACTTTTCCATGTGTGACCATTTGAAATAGTGGCCAAGTTGAAACCCTAGACTATAATTGTTACTTGACTAATTAAATGTAATGCTTGTTAGGTCAGAAATTAGTAGCACTCACTGAAATTTTTTATTCTTGTCTGTAGGACAAGTGTTGGACAGCCGGAGTCAGTCCCCATGGAGACTGTCTTTCATAACCGATTTCTTCTGGGGAATAGCCGAGTTTGTGGTTTTCTTGTAAGTATAGTAGTGCTCTTAATTGTCCCAGTATTTAAGATGACAGAAGTACACTAGCTATATTATTCTGGGTATTTTAAGCAAGCTTAGCTTTCCTGAAGCAGTTATTTTTTAACTTTTATTTATTTATTTATTTATTTTAAAAAGATGACCAGTAAGGGGATCTCAACCCTTAACTTGGTGTTGTCAGCACCACGCTCAGCCAGTGAGCGAACCGGCCATCCCTACATGGGATCCGAACCCGGGGCCTTGGTGTTATCAGCACCACACTCTCCCGAGTGAGCCACGGGCCGGCCCATTTTTGAACTTTTAAAAAAATTTTATTACTTTGATTACATTCTAACATTTATCATGGTGTGTAATAACATATTCATTTAAAATAATAAGGTGGTCTACATTAAACCAAGTCTTCAAAGCTGCAATAATTTTTACACTTCTTTTCATGTTGAAGTTTTTAATTGTAATTTTTAAAATAGCTTTACAAAGGGAAATTAAGACTTGTTTAGTGATAAAGATGCCGCCACCAAACATAATTATGGATGTATGTTAATTGGGTTGGTAAGCTTGACCCTCTTAACCTTGGTGGTAACCATTTCAACCTGCAGCCAGACCTGTCCATTTTAATGCCAAATGACTGGGCCTCAGTTTCCCTCCATTATTCCTGGTTTTCTTGTGTATGTGCAACTTTTATTCCATATTATACAAGTAAATAAGGGGAATCATATCTTAATTTAAAAAAAAAACTCCTAAGTGAACTTTTTTTAAATGAAGGGTTACAATGGATACGGAGAAGACAAAAATTTAAACTTTCCCATAATTTAAAGTAGTTCTTAATTAAATGCAGTTTTTGGTCTTTCACATGCTGTTCATTTTATGAACATTGTTTATCAACTCCTAACAAGTCTTATTCATCCTAATTTGAATATCTATTTGAGTGTCTCCTGGTCAGAGAATTGCAGGGATGCAAAGATGTGGAAGACCATCCCTTCCTTCATTGATTGATTTATCTGTGGCTGGCCAGTTCCTTCAATGGCTTTAGTGTCAGTAAACAGCTTCGTATTGCAAGGAGTACTGGGGTGGGTGTGATTATGAGAGGTGGACATCAAAAGAAGTTATTCCAGGTGAAGGAAACCATATGAAGGATGGCACAGAAATTTGAATATCAAGCTGTGGTCTTTATACTTAATTTGATTATAGCTATGGTTTAGAAAGTTTAATTTAATGGTACATTTAGCATAAATTAGATGGGGTAGAATGTAAAATGGGAGGCATGTTCCATAGAAAAATACAACAGGGGACAAGAAAGGACCTAAGTTAAGTTACCCAATGCAAAACTTAATTAAATCTTTTACAAATTTTACCTACTCCACACTTTATTAAAATACTGTTTTAACTTAGTTCAATCCTCCCCCTCTTTAAAAAAAAAAAACTACTTAAATGGATTCCCAGAAGCCCTGTGCCTCAGGCACACACCACCCTTGGCCCCTCCCTCCCTAAGGAAATGTTGGTAGGCTGTTGGCAGGGGGAGTGCGGGGGGTCAGTGAATGTGAGATTCTGTAAGAACAGACTCTGGAACCTGACGACTGATTTAGAGTGGAGGAAGGAAGTCAGAGATGACTCTGGTTTCATGCTCTGTCTAGGGGAGTTATTAGCAAATAAATACAAGGAAGGGTGGATTTGTCACAAAACATAGCACACTTTATTTAGACACATGCTAAAGCTAAATGGTGTTGTCCAGCTGGCTGTAAGAAATGTGGGTTTGGAGCTAAGTAGGTTTAGTCATCCTCTCACAGATATCATAGTTAAAACAATGGAAGTAAATTTTATAATGTTGACAGTGATACCTCTGTTTTCTGGCCCTTGTTTCAGTTTCAAGACTCTGCTTCAGCAAGATGTGAAAAAAAGAAGAGGCTACAGAAACTCGTCTGATTCCAGATATGATGATGGAAGAGGGTATAGCTTTTTTATTGATAATGTTTTTATCCCTTTGTACATTTTAATGAAATTAGATATTTTTGATAAATAGAATTATGGAAATTAAATGTTTTAATTGTACTTCACAAAATTAATGCATTACTATAAATTAAAAGTCAAGTTGCCTCCTTGATAATCAAAGCTAATCTGGCAAAACTAAAATACACACCAAATATCCTGTGAAAAAAGTCTAAATTAGAGGATGAAAACTGATGGCCAACATTAAAATCTAGAGATTTCACTTAAGAATCTGGATTTCCAGCTTCTAATGAAAAACTCTGAAGAAGCAGTAGTGCTGGGCTGGGCTTGTGTTTCCCACGTGGCAAAAGTCAGCTGGAATTGAGTTTCAGCTGGGCATATTTACAGGAGGTGCTGTTCAGTTAATCACAGTCCTGCCTTGACTCAGTTTCCTCATGTGCATTACATGTGTGGTCCTGTAAGTACTTGAATTTTTGACTCCCTACCTAAATGGCAGTTCCTATTTTAAATAATGTTTTAGAGTCATGGGGGACTCAACTAGAAAAGGATCTAGTTGAGTGTTTAAAAGGAAACAGTTCAAGTTGTGTCTGCTAAATAGTACATATTAACTTTTTCTCTTATTAGGCCACCAGGAAACCCTCCCCGTAGAATGGGTCGAATCAATCATCTGCACGGCCCCAGTCCTCCTCCAATGGCTGGTGGATGAGGAAGGTGACTTAAAATCTGAAATTATTTTGTAGGATTTTATTTTGAAAATGCCTCCTTAAGAATGTTTTTTTTTTTTTTAGGAAAACAAAAGTTGCCCAACATTTTGTAAATACTCAGACATTATTATTTGGAAAAATATTTATATCTTAACCCTTGAAAATGTCTTTTGAAAAAGATTTTATAACATGTAATGTGTTGGGCTTTTCATACAGATCCAAATTAATAACTAGTAATTATTGTAACGTTTTCTTTTAGGTAAATGTCTGCTCTCAGAAGCAGACAACTGGACATGCACATTCATAGCAGAAGGAAACCATCATGCAGTGGAGGGCTGACCATGCTGGACAAGTAGCTGAATGTGTACGTCTAAACCAGGATTGCTCTGTGTCTTCACAGACGAATGAGGTCATGCTGGGAATTCCCTCTGCAGGGATCTGGCCTGACTGACATGCAGTTCTATAAATGCACATGTTTGTGTCGTTATCTTTTTTGTATAGTTTGTTAAAGTATTAATATAGTATTAATATGTAAATATTTTTAGGTTGCAAACTGGCTTCTCATTTTTATACAGTTAAATCACAAATTCCAAATCTGAAGAAAATAAATAAAAGGCTGTTATTCAGAACTATTAGTGTCACCTTTTTCAACTTCTGAAATATCATTATTTATTTGTACTCATTTATGAATAAATCACACTATATTCATTTCAGTGGAATGCATACAGTATCTCTGCTCAAACTCATTTTATATTTAGTATATATATAGTATATTTGTCCTATGAATCTTTAATACATTGTATGTGGTTTGCTACCAAATATAATTATTGGGGCATTTTAAAGCCATAGCCAATAAAACTGAACTACAAAATGGAAGGTTTGGTAGGTAGTCTCTAAAATTGTGGACTTCAATGCTGTCTTGACAAATTTGAATTCTATACAATTGCTTAAGCCTATTGGCTTTAAAACCTGTCTGAATACTGATATTACCAGGTCCATGTCCAGCTGACTGCCCTGTAACCCTGGCTTGGCTCACCAAAATTTATTACAGAACCCAGGGCATTCAGCTCCTGGCTGAGGCTCACCAAAATCTTGTTACCCCAGGACATTCAGTTCCTGGCTTAGGCTCACCAAAATCTTGTTACCAAACCCAAGTCCAGCTGCCTGCCCCGTACAAAAAGAAACAACCCAAAAGTCAAATGTTGGTGAAATGGAAATCAGCTTCAATTCAGAAATACAAGTGACCTCAGGAGAGATGTTAGGCTAACCCATCTCTCCGGTAAACCTGAAGGAAAATAGCCAGATGATTAAAACGATCTCCCCAACTCAGATTTTCTGAGGGGTTTTTAAAGAGGGGGTTGAGGGAATGGAACAGGAGAAATGAGAGTCAGGAGGGAGGGGGGCGTGAGCTGTGGAGACTCCATGCAAGGAACCACGTGCAAGGTCTAGCCATAGCTCCCTCTGGTTTCTGTTCCCATCCTTGGTGTTATCTTAGGGTCCTGCTGGGGGTTGTGTGGTGGAATCAGCATAGTTTTATTGATGTCTTCCTTGTCAGGGTCTGGATAGTACAGTCTCATTGCAAGTCTGTAGCTCCAGGCTGACTGGAAAACAACTTTACATTTATATAAATAATGTCATTTTTACCCCATAACTAAGGTTCAAAATATCAGCTAACCATGGGAAAAGAGGGAACTCAGAGAAATACATGCTAAGAGATAAAAATTCTTTTAACATTTCCTGCAGCCCCGGCAGTTTCAGTTCTCAACATGGCTTCAGTCCTCCAGCACTAGAAACTTTCACATCTCATTCACAGTGACTGCAAATGGCAGTCATTCTATTAAACCCATCTAACCATAGTGGGTGGAGGGGCACCATGGCAGAATCTCTGTAGGTGGTGGTTGAGTGATACTGATGGCTTCTCTGGGCATGTGACCCATGATCCTCCTCTGTTCTCCAGGGCCGCTACTGAAGGACTCGTTCATCAAATCTTATCCCAGAGTCCCAAATGCATTTGAAGTTTAGCTGTCCCACTCTGCACTTCAGGTAGTTTACTGTAATGCAGAATATAGCCTCTTGAGTAGCTTGTGTCCAGATCTTGTCTTTGCTACTCAATAGCTTATGATCTTGAGTGGGTTATGCCATTTTATCCCAGGTTACTCACCTGTAAAATGGGGGTTAAATCTCCTACCGCAAAGCGTTCTTTACTCAGCAGTATTTAATCAACAAATGCTTATTGGGCACCTACCATGTGCTGAAGATAACAGCAGCAAATAAGACAAAGTGTCCTCTCTCATTGAGCTTAGACTCTAGTGTGGGCAACAGTATGTGAGCAGGCAAGATAATTACTAATGCTTCATTCATGTTCAACAGAAATAGGATGGTAGAAGGACAATGGGGGATGGACTGAGGTGACTTTTGAGTTGAGACACGACGAGAATGAGCCGGCTGAGAGGAGAGCATCTAAGGCAAGAGGAACAGCGAGTGCAACAGCCTGATGATGGGAAGGGCTTGGCATTCCTGAGGAAAAGAGCAAGAGTAGTTGGAAATACCAGGGAAGGGGAGAGTGGTGTAAGATGAAATTAGAAATGCTGCAGTAATTAGATTAAACATGGACCTGCGTGTGAGGGGTCTGGGGACCCAGCCTGGCATGTGAGGGGTCTGGAGACCCAATTTGTATAATGGGTTTGGAGGGTCTGAGCCCTACCTCTAACAATATAAATGGAAACTTAGTATAAATAAAATAATGAAACATTTTGGCTTTAGTTATGATTTGCCATACTTTGCAATTGGCATCATCAGCAGGATTACTTTACATATCCATATAACTCAAAGAAGCTCAAATGTTATTTCTTGTTTTGACAATGCTTCCAGTATAATTTAGCCTACCAGATAAGCCAAATTAGTTTTAATATCTCTGTTTTTTAGATTTTTTAGTTCCAGTCAAAAGACTTAATTTTTAGAGTTTGATTTTGGAAAGTTTGTCAAATAATCCCTATATGGGATCCAAACCCGGGGCCTTGGTGTTATCAGCACCGCACTCTACCGAGTGAGCCACGGGCTGGCCCCGAAGCCAAATTAGTTTTAATATCTCTGTTTTTTAGATTTTTTAGTTCCAGTCAAAAGACTTAATTTTTAGAGTTTGATTTTGGAAAGTTTGTCAAATAACAAAGGTTTAAAACAAATCATAAATCATTATAAAATAAAACCAAAGTGACAAAGATTTCAAAAGCACAAAGCACAAGAGGTTGTCTTGATAAAAAAAAATCTGTGTCATAGGCCAGTGACCTTAAAGATAAAAAAAACCTCTCATGGGGCCGGCCTGTGGCTCACTCGGGATAGTGCAGTGCTGATAACACCAAGGCCACGGGTTCGGATCCCATATAGGGATGGCCGGTTTGCTCACTGGGTGAGTGTGGTGCTGACAACACCAAGTCAAGGGTTAAGATCCCCTTACCGGTCATCTTTAAAAAAAAAAAAAAAAAAAAAACCTCACAATTTTCTATTAAGAACAGTTTAGTGCTTTGAGAAAACCCTGTTGTTCCAACATAGGGAAGCAAACTCTAGCCTTGCATCAGTGTACTTTTTATATTAATGCTCAACTTTTAGAAAAAACTATAAATAATTCCCTTCTAATATTAGCCAGCCTGATCACATAAAATTCCTTTCATAAATTTACCCCTCACAAACCATTATGACCTATTCAGACATTTCCGTGACATGCTTAGTCCTGTTTTGTCGGATACTTCCTCTTAAATAATCAGTCTTTTTACTTTAAGACAAAAATTTATTACACATTATGCTTTTTCATACAAAATTATTCTTTTTTCCTTTTAATTCTCTTCACCAAAAATACCATTATACCAATAACTTTCTCATCTCTCTCTCTCCCAAATCCATATCTTGAATTAGACAAAATTGCTCCTTTTTAATAAAAATATATTCTCACATCTTTTACAATTTCTCACTGAAAACACATCTTACTTTCTATGTACACTTTGCATACAGAATTGTTTCCCTATTTCTAGTAGTTTTAATTCCATATGTTAATTTGAATTTTTAACTCTTAGTAACCTTATATTTGTGAAAACCTAAGTAATCCATTTTGAACTATTTGTCCAATACCAACATTTTATTAATCAACTTTTCATAATTTCTAGAAACATATACTTCCTCATAGAACAATTTTTTTCTTTATTAATAGACCCAAATATATAGTTTTTCTATACCATATAAAAACAAGATTTCAATGTATATAAACTTTAAACCTATGCTTAATACTTAATGTTTTAGTATTTTAACTTATTCAGAAATGACCCAGACTTTCAATGAATATCTATTACTTAATTTCACCTTAAAGTTTTGTTACCAAAAAGACTTTTTAAAACTATGAAGAGTCCATTTATAAATGCTTATGCCTAATTTACTTATTTTTAACAACTATGCTTAAATGGTTTATGAAAATTCTATAAGCCATTGAACAAAACTCAACTTATCTTCCTGTTAACCATTTTTACAGCATGTGAATGTTAGGCAGTTGCCACCTAAGCAAGAACCCTAGAGTTAAATAGATGAGTGTTTCACTGATCAGAAGACACACCTGTTTTCATTAACCCCTCCTTGCAAAAAGTAAACTAGTCTTATTTACCTAAGGTTCATCCAAGCCATGGAGCCTAAAAACCATTTGAGTTAAGTTCTTTTTATTTTTCTTTTTTTGATAAAGTATTTGATTTAAGCACTTAATTTTTAAAAAGCCAATTAATTAGAGCTCTTTCATATATTTTGGTAGAGAAATATCACATACACATAACACATATTGTTACTGAACCAAAAAGGGGTCTGTTATCCACAGTGCCAACCTACTAAACAGTTTCTCATGCTGAAGTTTGCAGTGATAAAGAACAGCATTTATTTGAATAGCCAGTCAGAGGAAAATGAGGCAGCTAAAGGAGCTTGAAACCTCAGACTCCCAGGTAGCTTAAAATCACAAGCATTTATAGAGCAAAATCATGATGGGGAAAGCAGTCTTAGGAGTCATCTGGGAACCTGATAGGTTCAGGGTGAAGTCAGCACAATTATCCCTGGCATTTTGACTCATGTCTTCCATGACTCCTTCAGGTCTGGAGGAGACATGCTTCAAAGCAGGTCTTCAGGGCCAGCCTGTGGCTCACTCGGGAGAGTGTGGTGCTGATAACACCAAGGCCCCGGGTTCGGATCCCATATAGGGATGGCCGGTTAGCTCATTGGGTGAGCGTGGTGCTGACAACACCAAGTCAAGGGTTAAGATCCCCTTACCAGTCATTTTTTTTTTTTTCCTTTTTGTCTTTTTTCGTGACCAGCAACGGATCGCAACCCTCAGTGTCACGCCCGTACCGGAC